AAGCATGAATCAACTACTTAATCATCAATTAAGATTCTGTGTTAAGTATGATTTAGTCTAAAATTTAAGTTTTAAGACTAAAGTTGGTTAAAGATATTTTTATTGTAAATATATGTAAAAAAAAAAAGAAGTAAAAATCTCATTTAAAGTTTGGTTACATTCTCAAAGTGGTAGGATTGACTCTAAACTTCCATAGCATTCTATTAGTGAAGAGGAATTATAAATTTATGCAACTTAGATATACAATGAAACCATTTTCCCTTTTTTGCCAGTAGTGTCATTTTCGAGGGTATTTATCAACCCATGCATCAAAGAAGCATATTCTCGTACGGTCACCCATAAATAGTTGAATAATGTACCGTGGCCAAAGCGCATGTTATCATCATGTGGACCAAGGAGCAACTTGGCTCAGTGGACCCAAAGTTGTCCCAGGAGAACTGTAGTTTCAGGCTCGTTAAAGTTGCACAGCATCAATAATGTGAACTGCATAAACATATCTTCACTTGTCCAACTTCGGTAGGGCCCTAAAATGACAGCAGTTGGTTGAGAAAAGGAGAGTTTACCGCATTCACAATTACTTTTAAGCAGACAGCACATTGAACCCATAAGAAAACTGCCTATAACAAGCTCTCATCCTCATCATCTTCGTTCTATCTTGTCAAACATGTAAGAAATACGATTAAGAAGCCATAATCTTTAGACAACATAATTCATACATTGCACAAATTGCATAAAAGGAGTCAATACATGCTAATGCAGATTGCAATTTCAAGGACAGTTACAAATTCACTAACCTAGTTGGCGGAAGGACTATGTACTAACATTAATCATCATACATAAGTGGGTTAAAATTGAAGCCGAGGGGATCAAATGAAAAAACACTGGCTTTACTCAATTGATGCATCTTCCAATTAGAAACTATAACAGCTTATTCATCACCCATGGCCAGCTCCAATGCATAGTCATCCCTCTCCTGCCACATTAAGCACATTATAGAAGTGAGATAGCAGCAAGGCATACAGTAATCTCAGATGAAAGTGCAACTTAGCACCAGATTATCATCTCTTTCTCTATGTCAGATGGATTCCTTATTTTTTCCCCTAACATGTTAAACACATTTTCTCTTTCCTGAGAAACTACAAAAAGATGTCATCAGTAACTGTGATTAGGTAATGTTTATATTCAGAACTTACTACAGGTCCTCGAGCAAAATATCTTCCAAACTGAAGCCAATACACCTGCAGATGCCAGAAATTTCATATTACCTCAATGCATGCAAAGAAAAGGATGCCAAAATACCCAAGAAATTCCAAACTACAGAAGATTGAAGATTAAAGAAGAAAATCTAAATTTGATAGAACTGGTATTAATCTTTGTGGTGATCACATAGATGCTGCTACGCCTACGCAAGTGCCATGCCATTAGAGGCATTTGATGCAGCACAAACTCATTTCCAATGACTTCACTTATATTGGTTCCAAACGGGTAGTTCATTTTCTCACTAAGTGAATGGTCACAAATTGTACACACCTCGTCTTCGTCTTGTGTTTCAACTTCAACATCAGAGGAAGGAAACCCCACACAGAGAAGTGCATAGCCCTGGATTTAAGGCAAAGAGAAAGGCCAATAGAAAGTTAATTTCTCATGCACTATAAAAACTAACATAATTATATGCTGTCAACCTTTTTCTTTTTGGTAGTGAGAAGGGGGGCCTAAAGCCCATGATCACATGCAGACTGGCCATATGTGTCTCTGTTATTTAGTATTCACTTCTCTCTCTTCTGTAATTCAGTTATTAACAGAATGATTACTGGCTAGAACTAAGCAGAACAACAGGTCTGAGTTGTAACTCCACCTCTCACTCAGTTTCAGGCAAGGCATGAAATTGAATTTGTACCAGTAAATCTAAATAGAAATAATACTACATGCCTTAGATTTCAGTTCAGCAGATATTCCCAGTGCTTCAGGCTGTCTTATTTGTCCAGATTTTACTCGTACAGCACAGCTAGTACAGCAACCTGGGGTGTGGGAAATCATAAGTCAGTGCTAATATAGCCAGTAAGCAAAATAATTACCATTAATAACAGAGTTCCACATAAGCAATGAAACAATCAGGAATTCAAGTGGCATGGAAATTCAGTAAAACTTGCTGTGTCAAACAAATCATAAACCAATCTTTAACAAACAATTTACCAATAAAGTAAATTAGGAGAATGATGGAGCCTCTAGTCCATAAGAAAACTAGCATGATGTAATGTTTCCTTTTCCCCCCAACTTTCACACCTTGACTCTAAATCAAGGGCAAAATGTTCACCAACTCTCAGGGTGAGAAGGTGGATGTCAAAGCATGGTGTAAAATCTACAGTAACTACCAACTACTATGTAGAGTGACACTCTTTAAATGCCCAAATTTTGATTTAAGGAAAAAGCTCCACAATTTTTTTATTTTTAATTTTTTATTTACAACTTTTCACAAGCAAATTTGAATTCCCAACTAAGGCCAAAATTAAAATGGTGTGCACTAAACTTGAAGATATAAACACGAACTTCAAAAAGTGCTGCATTGTGTGCAGACGTGCGTGCATATTAGTAACAAAAGAACATTTATGAACAAATTTGGCAAATTCTAAAGAACAATACCGTGCCTGCAAGCGAATGGAAGGGTTATGTTTTGGGATTCAGCAGTGTGCAATATGTATTGGTCCTGCATTTCAATCAAATGATACACAAATCACTTCAATAACTGAAAACCAGCAACCTGATTAGATCACAACATGATGAATAAAAACTACTCATGTATATCTCTTTTAAAGCAAAAATTTAACCCCTTTTCTTTCCTCAATCTCAACAAGATACAATAACGGAAACCTTAAAATTCCCTTTTCATTGCTTAGAAATAAGGAAAAGAGAAGATGCTCAATAATCTATTACTGTCTGATTTTTAAACCTGATCTATGAAGAATTAACTAAAATTATTCCCGCATTTGTAAAGAGATTCAATGAAACAAACAAAGATTCACTCTTTTGTCCAGCATTTTCTCGGAAAACAAATGAGTGCAGTATCGAACCTCGGGCACGAGGAACTCATGAACAACACCGCGTTGTCTGTCGCGAACTGTAACCTTGTGCGTCGGAATCGAAGGAGACTGACTGCCAGTTCGATCGGTGACGCCCACCGATGTCTGGAGCTCCGACCTAGTGACGCGGGGACATTTCAGGTAATTGTTCCTTCTCGGAGATAAAAGTTGCCGGTGAAGTGATGGCCTCCGGTAGAACGAAGTGCAGGAGGAATAGGAGGAGACCACGGTGTCCATTGATACGGTTAGTGAAGCTGATTGGTTATTGGCAGTGAGGAGATAATGCATAAAAGAAAGGCAGTACTTCTGTTAGCACTCAAGTTTCTGTATAAGTGAGTTTCTGACCGTTGGATTCAGTTTAGCAACTTCCATTGAAGAAATCGAACCGGCTTGGTTGCCGACGTGGCAGCAAATCCAAGCTGTGGAGCTTCTGGTCGACGCGTGGATGACCATCATAGGCGCCACGTGTATCATAATCAGTTTTTTAGTGGAAAGGTAGATTAGATCAGCAACATTGTTAAATGATACGTAATGCCGAGGATCAGATTTATAAATATAATAATTTCGCAAAAGAAAAAATATATTTCTGCACTTTATATATTAATCTTTTTTTTTTTCATTACATAACAATAAAAGACAATCATCTTTCATTTTTTATCCACTCCACCCTCTTATCTTTTGTCTCAATTGATCCGTATGCCATGTGATTTGAATTTAAGATCTCTTACCACCCTTCTATCATTTGTCTCAACCCACCTATATGTTATTTGATTCAAATTCAAGATTTCTCACTTCTAACAGAAAGAGATAACAAGTTATTTAAGGGTCTATTTGATAGAGTTTCTTAAAACTTTTATTTTTTAATATTGTTAATGAATCATAAATTTAAATTTTTATTTAAAAAATATTAAAAATTACTTTTAAAAATAATTAAAAAAATGAGTTGAAAGTGAGTAAAAAAAGTTTATAAAAAGTAAAAATTTAAAAATTTTCAAAATTTACTGTTTAAATTTTTTTTTAAAGTTAAAAAAATTAAAATATATAAATTTATAAGAGAAAAATTTTAATTTATAAAACATGAATAGTATCAAAAAATTAAAACACTTACAAGTTTCACTAAATATACTTTAAATAGTTCACTTTATACATTAAAATTTTATTTTACAGTCTAAGTTAATTTGGACTATAGATTAAAATCTGTTTAATGGGAGAGGACCCCCAGCATCAAGACATCAAATTTCTATCAGACGGTTAGTGTTTTATAATTTGTATCAATTTTAACTGTATAATACTTGTTCATCCAAATATAACTAAAGTTGAAGAATGTGTTTTATTTTGATAGCAGGGTGAGTGAATGACGGATATCACAGGAGGGGGTGGAGAAACAGAGCTCATGAAAAACGAAGCTCAGGCAAAGATGGAGTTGCATTGCATCAGGGCAGAGCCAGGCATGCAGAAGAGAAACTGAGGGACGAGGGCTAAGGCGGCAAGGCCATGAGCCACCACTCGTAGGGAGGGGGGGACTCAATTTGGCCGCAACGAGCCTATAGTTGGACGGCCTACTGCTGTTCCTTCGTATCCCTTGGGAGGGAACCCGCCACCATCTGGGCACGAGGGATTACCAAAGCTAAAAACGCATCCTGCTTGCTCTGTTTCAATAGGGTTTTCATCTTGTTCGTAGACTCTGTTGTTCCCTCATGGAGAATAAAAATGCTGACTCACTCCTAAACATTCCTGATGCGAGATCACTCATAACTGCATATACAGATTTATGTAGAAAAGGTTACGATGCTTAACACATGACTGATGAATAGTACAACCAGATTCCTCTTTACAGCAGCGAACTATAAATCATACAGACGTTAGAGCAATGGCAAGAACAGATCACAACCAAAGAATCAAGCTGACAACACAAGTTTGCTAGACTAACATGCGTCTCATGTCATACCCACTGCAGTCTACCTTGGAATTCCACATGCTGCTGGATTTTCCCACCAAGGGATACGACTTGGTTTTTCACTTTAGCTGGTATGGTACTGTACTTTATTTGAAACTTTGGAAATGACCTCTGATCATCTTCTGCACTAATTGATGTTTCTAGCAAGACCTCATTGAGGAACTCATCTGCCACGTCTCCATCTTCATCTATCCTGAGACGCTTTGCATACCATCTTAGACCCTGAATCCAAAAGAACAAATATAAATTCAGCAAAATGGTAACATAACCAAATGCCTCAACCAATTTTGGGTTTGATAGAATCTAATCTAGTAATCACTTCCCCTTTTTCTTCCCAAAACTCGAACAAAATACTAAGTGAGTTAAACAAAAAAGAAGCAACTTGGACAAAACACCATAAACATCAGAAATTAAACTATGAAGGAATATCAAACCATTTTCTTAAACTAGCCTCATTTCAGGAATGCAGGGAAACAACTATCAATGCTTCTTGGATGACAACAGATTTAAAGTCAAGCATTCATCAACAAGCCTAATTGAACAAAAATTTAATTAATTGACACAGACTTTACTTGGCTACGGGGTCCAGTATCAAAATTAGACAATCCGATTGGTGACAACAACACTTTCCCCAAAAAAACCCAGCTGTCAGCAACAACATTTGCCCATTATGAAGAAAAGGAGAAGGAACAACAGCATCATTGAACTAGATAGAGTCCTAAATGGTAAAGATGATGTAAACAACCATAACATGATTTAAATCTTTAGGATTCAGCACAAATGAAATTAGATCCATCACCAAAGAAGAAAATCATGAGTCATCACAAAATACTTCAGATACACCCCGAAACAAGCTAAATTCTAACTAATTCATTTCTCACGTTCACGTCCAATTTTACACGCACCAAAAGATGCACTAAAACATTCCAATTTCAAATAAAAATAAACCAAACCGTTAATATCCTCTCCAAAATCCAAATACTAAAAGAGCAAATGTAACCCAAAAAAAAAAAAAAAAGGAAAGAAAGGGAAATTGACACTAGAGAGAGAGAGAGATGAGGTGCACCTGCACACCGCCGCCACCAGGAGTACAAGAGACAAGGACGGGGCCAAGTTGGGGACGGTCCACTGCGACCTGGACGGGGACGCTGAAGCCTCTACGGGGCAACCCGGTTTCATGGAAAACCCGAGGTTCATTGGCCTGCTGATTATGACTGTTGTTGGAGGCGGTGGAAGCGTTATTTTCTTCTTTGTCTTCCTGCTGATTCACTTGGTGCCCATCGTCCCTGACCAACCCCAACAACCCCGCTATTCTCTTGAAGAATCGCATAATCAAGATCAGTCTATCAAATGATCAAATGGGTTAATTGTAGATTTGAAAAGAGACAAGCGATCCTCCGGCGGCTCTTGAGGGGAGGTAGAGTGGAGGCTCAGCTTTGATCGGAAAGACGTCCAACGGAACGGAGGCTATTTTCTTTGGAGTAAATAGTGTCGAATCCATGATTTCAACATAAAAGTAGAGAAAAGTCCATTATTATTTAGTATTGTAAAATTATAATAAAA